GCCCTTCATACCTGGGCACTAATGGACCAGACGTTTAAAGAAGCAGGCCCACTGTCCTCTCACTTGATAAGATAGCACACATCTATATATATAAAAGCCTAAGCGACCATTATAAAGGAACAACCAGAACTGAAAGGACCAATCACTGTGACATGTACTGACCACCAGGGGGCAGACGCTCAATGAAGGAACTGCCTTCAGCCCGCAGGCCCTGATTGCCAATGGGGCCAACTTCCTGGTCCCTCCCCCGGCTGACAAGCCCCAATCACCGGATTGAGGCTGAACAGGGAATTGGGGGTGGGCAGTGATGGATGCTGGCAGCGAGGGAAGGAGGAGGGGGGAGGCAGGGAGGCTGGCCAGGTCTAGGGATCCCACCCATGCATGAATTTCATACACTGGGCCTCTAGTAGGTATAAAAATCCCACCTAACGCTAAAGAGTGAGACAACAATGCTATGTTTAAGAACTCAGAGAGCCCAGCCAGATTGCATTTCAGTCCCTGTAGAAAAATCTAGGCTATGTCAGGGACAGCCAAAAGTGGCACCAAGATAACCTAAGACAGCAGAGACTGCTGGCTTCACTGCCCACAATTCAAAGTGAGATCAAAGTGCTGCCCTACACAGAGCAGCTCTGAGGCTTCAGGATGACCACACATGGTTTCCTTCACCTGGACATGAAATCTGTTGAGCAGACACTCAAAACTGAAAACAATTTCCCCCAAAAGTCCCACAAGCCAAATTTTTCCAATTACATGTAAATGGAATCTGTCTATTCTTATGCTTCCTTGTTTCTCAGCTGTGTCTCTCATGTTTTCATTTACAAAAATACAGACAGACTGGAGGCTCTTAGTTTGTCGTCCACATACGAACAAAACAAAATAAAACTCCTATTGGAGTGAACGAGATGCTAAAACCTAGTGGAGGAAAAACTGCATTAAATCATCACAGAAGTTAAGCTAGTGCTTTAGGACATCATCCCTACACCAAGGACAGCAGTTACCAAACGCACACTGTAATGCCTGGTCTATCTCCCGAGTGACAGGGATAGAAAACCATAACCTGCCCAGGTGGCAGGCTCAGAGGCTGAGGGTCAACTTCTGAACCAGGAGGTCAAGGTCTGATTCCTGGTCAGGGTGCATGGTAGGGCTTCGGGATTGATCCCCAGAAGGGGGCATGCCAGAGGCAGCCAATCAACGATTGATTCTCTCTCATCATGGATGCTCCTCTCTCCCCCTCTTCCTTCCTCTCTGAAATCAATAAAAAAAAATATACTTTTTTAAAAAAAAAAAAAAAAAGAACACCATAACCTTCTGGTTCATGAAACCCAAGGATAGCAGGAAATGTAATGAAATAAGGGGTGGCGTGTTGTGAGAATCGTGAGGAATGAGTATGAAGGTTTGAGGTCTGAAGGTGGGAATGGATCTGAGCCCCAAGGAAAAGTCTGGATTGTGGGATGCCGAAGGGAGGAGGGCACTCTGGACAGGGGACAAGCACCAGGGAGCAAAGTCGCAAGAGGGACACTCCCTGGCGAGCTGCACAGAGCGAGGAGGGTGGTGAGGGTTAGTGAAAGGAGCCAGGGAGATAAGGTGGTGAAGAGACACTGAACTGGATTAAGGGAACCTTGATAGTTGGGCTGTTTAGACTTTACCCCGCAGGCCCAGGAGGCTGCCCAGCTCCGAGGTGATAGAAACAACAGTGTGCTTTCGGAATAAACAATAGAGATTTATTCTCAGATTATCTGTCCAGGACAGTGGGTCCTTTTGTCCGTGGATTAACCAGAATCTATTATGGCCAGTGAAATGAGTGTCTCAAATTCTATCCTGGGGCAATTTTGCTATGACCTGTGCCTTGGAAATGCAATTCCCAAATGTTTTTTCTTTTAATATATTTTTATTGATTTCAGAGATGACGAGAGAGGAAGAGAGATTGAAACAATGATGAGAGAGAATCACTGATCGGCTGCCTCCTGCATGCCCCCTACTGAGGATTGAGCCAGAAACCCCGGCAGATGCCCTTAATGGGAATCAAACCTGGGACCCTTCAGTCCGCAGGCGGACACGACGCTCTATTCACTGAGCCAAACCAGTTAGGGCCCAAATACTTTTCTTGAATGATGAACCTGAGTTCAAGACAGGGGGAAAAAGAGAGAGAACGTATCATTCCTGCTTCTAAGACTATCTCAAGAAAAACCACATTTTGGAGCTATGATTGCATTAACTACACCAAAGTCCTAGCAGTTTTGGAAACAGCTTTTATCCTGTTAAACAAAGTTAGAATTGATAACCTTTTCTGTAAGTACTAAGTAACAATCAGGCACTGCTCAATATGCTGTAAACATCCCATCTATAAGATAGCATTTTACCTCCATCCATTACTGCTGGCTACTTAGTGTCACTGGACTATGAGTCTGAAGCTTCAAGACCAGGTCATGGCCACGTGGTCAGGGCCAGGAGAAACACCGCCTAGCTATTTCTGAGTTGTAGCCACAGGACAGTAAAAGGATCCTAAAAGAAATTTAAAGGTAAATGTAGAAGGTTTGAAATAGGGCAACACAATGAATAATATGTATATGGAGAGACTGGTTTATTCACTGACTCAGGGCTACAGAATCTATATAAAAGAACCCAGAGACGTTAAGCATTATCTCTGAACGTGACTGTGCCATCAGACAGCACAGACTCGGTTCAGGGACCGTTCCCTAGTGAGGAGTGAAATGAGGAAAAACCAGGCAGGAAAGGGAGTATTATAAAAAAAGAGATCAGATTACCAACAGGCCCAATGAATGAACCTGAGAGGAAGTGACACAGTGCTCACCGCACACCTGTTTATACCGGGGAGTCCCCAGGAAACCTAATGGCCATCATAATCTCCAGGCAACAGCAATCTTCCGACAAAACTTGAGTAGGACCACGGGGTTCACCTGGCTCAGAGCCCCCACACTGCCACCCTCTGATTTGGCCCCCAAACCAACACAGCAGCAATCCCTCGGTGGTCAGGGGACCCTCCAACGCCGCTGCTGTGGATGCCAGGCGCCTGTCTGTGATAACATTCCTGAATAAAAGGTCCTCAGAGCCTGGCCGGGTCGCTCAATGGTTAGAGCGTTGGCCCCAAAACCAAGGTTGCGCGAGCTCCATCAATGGTCAGGGCCCATGCAAGAGTCAACTAATGGCCCTAACCGGTTTGACTCAGTGAATAGAGCGTAGGCCTGTGGACTCAAGGGTCCCAGGTTCGATTCCGGTCAAGGGCATGTACCTTGTTTTCGGGCACATCCCCAGTGGGGAGTGTTCAGGAGGCAGCTTATCGGTGTTTCTAACTATCTCTCTCTCTTCCTCTCTGTACAAAATAAAATATATTTTTAAAAAATAAGAGTCAACCAATGAAAGTCACAAGTGGATGTTTCTCTGCCGCCCCGCCCCCCCCCCCCTTCCTCTGTTTCCAAAACCAATCCATGAAATTTTAAAAGTAAAATCTCCTGGGCCGATCCCATGGCGAAACTGGAGATTCAGAAAGTAGTCCTTGGCCCTCCCTCCCTTACCCTCCCTTAGGAGGTGAGCCCTGGGGTCCCCACGCCCGTTCCCGAGCCGCCGCCACCCGCTTCCTGCCTCTCCCACCGCACCCCCGAGCTGAGTTCCCCATTCACTCAACGGCGGTACCGGCACCCAGGCCCCAGGAGGCAGGGAGGGGGCTCCCGACCCCAATCCTCCCTGGGGGGCCGCAGAGAGCACCCGAGAGGGAGGCGGACCCGGGACAGCGAGCATCCCGGCTCCGCAGACCGGGGCGGCTGCAACTCCCGAAGCGAGCGGCTCTGCGGGGAGGAGCGAGGCGGGCACCCCGACGGGGATCCCCAGAACCCGGGAGCGCCCTCGCCTCTGACGCTTCCTCTCAGCAAAGCGCTGGAGCTTCGGTTCCGAAGCAACTCGACCCGTCCCGGACCCAAATGCCAACCGAACGCACTTTTAGCCGCTAACTTCCCCGCGGGGCCCGGAGGACTCCGATCCCACGGCCGCCGCGGGAGGGGGTCTGCCTGCGCGCGGGGCGGCAGGAGCCGGACCCAGACCCGTCCCCCGTCCCGTCCCCGTCCCCCGTCCCGTCCCCGGTCCCCGGTCCCGTCCCCGGTCCCCGGTCCCGTCCCCGGTCCCCGGTCCCGTCCCCGGTCCCCGGTCCCGTCCCGGCGGCGCGCGCCCGCCGCCCAACTCGGCGCCGATGGGCGCGCACTCACCGACGCCGTACTTGTGCCGCTTGGTGGGGATCCAGCGGGCCATGGCGGCGACCTCGCCCGCCGCGGCCGCAGCGGCAGCGGCAGCAGCTACCACTCCCGGGGCGCCGGCCGCCGCGCCCCCGCGCTCCTGCGCGCCGCGGGCAGCTCCGCCATGTTCCGGGCCCGCCCGCCCCGCGGCCACGCGCTGCGCCACCGCACCCGCCGCTCCCGCCGGTCACCTGCTGGGCCGGCGGCCGCGCCCCCACCCCCGCCTCCTCCCTCCCGGCGCCGCCCCGCCTCGGCCGCGCCCTCCGCCCGCTGGTCCGCCCCACGCCGACTCCGGCCGCCCTGGCGCACTTCCCCCAGCAGCTCCGGGGCACGGGGTCCGGGTCCGGGTGTGCCCTGCCGGGGGCTTGCTTTTCCCCGCCTTCTCCACCGGGATCCACCAGATCCACCCGGATCCATCCCGTCGGGAGGGCTGGGCTGGGGCCGCCGCGCGGCGGGTGAGGACTGCGCCATCCGCTCCCAGCGCGCCGAGCCCGGCGCCCTGGACGGCACCGGTGCGCCCTAAGTCGGAGACCCTGCACCCCCAAACACCGGGACGCCTCTCCGCAGGGAAACTCAGACCCTCGGGCTCAAAGAGAACAGTCCCGCCGAGACTAAGGCGACCAGGCGTCCCGCTTTGGGCGGGACAGTCCCGATTTCGAACCATGTGTCCCGCGGCGTTTTTGGATAAAAATCGGGACTTATTTAAAACGCCGCGGGACACATGGTTCGAAATCGGGATGTCTGGTCACCTTCACTCCAGGCACGGTGTGGTGACAAAGAGCCAGTCCTTGGGGGGGACTGCCCCCTTTGAACTGCCCTGGGTTCCGGCTGGCGCCTCTGAAACTCACTTCCTCCGGGAGAAACCTCCAGAATGGAGATTGGATGGGGTTGGGGGAGCCGGTTCCTACCTCACACATACAAGTAAAAATCTGAGTAAACGACCAGCTGCTTGTGTTCACAGTTTGAGAAAACGTCCCAGATTCTCTCCCTGCAGTCGGTGATGGCTTTCTTACCTACTTGGAAAATGAAGAGAAAAGAAAATAAGCATGTAGTAAAACAGAGTAAACTTGATTGAAGAATTCATGCATTTAACTGTTTGCAAAACAAATCTGAATTAAAAAAAAAAAAAAAAAAAAAAAAGTCCTGATCATGGTGCCTTGTGGGTAACTAACTCCTTGGCTGGCTCACTTATTCATCCACAAATAGGTTTTTATTCACAAAGGTTTTTTAAGTCACGAAATCTCTCATTTTACTAGTAGACTTAACCTCCAAAAGGAATTCCAGCATCTCTCCTAAATGGTTTCTCTTTTGCTGTAATCATGATTAACCTAATTCCCTAGATTAGGTCATTTCTTCTTTCCACAAATACTTATGAAGTGCTTATTAAATAGCAAGCCCAGGGCCCAGCAGTGAACAAATTAAAATCTCTACCCTCATTGAGCTACAGTCTAGAGGTAAAACAATCTTCAGTATATATAAAACCCTAATATGCAAATAGACCAAACAGCAGAACAACCAAACAACAGAGCGAAAGAGTCTTTATGGCATGTGTTGACCACCAGGGTGTGCACGAAGAACATGGCGGGCATCAGCAGCAGGCAGCAGAACCTGGAACATGGTGGGCATTGGGCGTGGGCAGGATGGTGGAACAAGTGAGTGGGGGCAACAGACCAAGGCAGGGTAACGGTTGCTGTCATCTGGTGGTTACTAAAAACTTTCTTGGTGCCTTCAGTGGGTGTGAGCAGCAGCGGCTGCCAGCCCTGATCGCCCCTGATGGCTTCTCCACCTACCCCTGCTCCTGAGGAGCAATCAGGGCAGCAGCCGCTGCTGGCACCCACTGCTGGCACTGGCCCCAATTGCTCCATGCTGTCAGTGCATGGGAGCAGTGGCAGTAGGAGTGGGGCTGCCAGCAGAGAGGGAACTAAGGGCTGCGGTGGGAGGGGCCAGGCAGGGGCGTGAAGGATGGACCGAGACCCACCCCTGGGCCCACTGCAGCCTCGTGGCCCACAGTACCTTTCAAGGTGTATGAATTCGTGCACTGGGCCCCTACTTCTATATAATAAAAGGCTAATATGCAAATTGCCCTATGACTGGGAGCTCTCTCTCTGCCCTTCCCCCAATCACCCTGTCCCCAATTGGCTCAATTCCCAATTGGCCCCCTCACCCAGATTGGAGGCGGGGCCAGCCCAACTGCTTGCTGACCTGGCCCCATAGGGCAATGGTGCCGTCAGGCTGGGGCCCACCCTTGCACGAATTTGTGCACTAGGCCTCTTATAAGCAAATAAATGTGTGCCCAAAGAGGCTACAGCTGTGGAGAAAATTCCTAAGCAGGGAGAAGGGGATGGAAGAGGGGTAGGGCAGCGCAATGCTGTAGATGTGATCTGTAAAGGCCTCTGGTAAGGTGACATGAAGGAAGGAAGGAAGGGTTCAGGAAAAGCATTCTGAATTCAGGAAACACAAATTCATAGGCCTGGAGGCACGTTTGGCAGGTTCCAAAAATATCAAAGAATCCTCGGTGAGAGGTGAGTAAGAGGAAACTTGGTCCCAGAGGCCCGGAGAGACCAGGTAAAACAGGACTGTGAAAGGCATAAGTAAGGGCTTTTTCTATTACTTGGAAAAGAGAACTTCGGATGGTTTGGTGCCAACCAGGGACATGTTCTAATTTGCCTCCTTTGGCATGAACAGACTGAAAACACAAGGGAAGAAGCAGGAAGATCAGAAAGATGGGAGGCTATTTCAGTAGTTCAAGCAAGAAGTGAAGGTACTTGGGAGTCAGGATGGAGAGGTGGAAAAGAATGTGGATTCTGGACAGAGACTGAAGGGAGGACCAACAGGAAGTCGGTGGGCACAGGGGAATTTGCTGACGCTTTTGGACCATTCAGGGTACTTTCATCAGCATATGGTTTTGGAAAGGTTGCCCCCAATATAAGGCTTTTACAAAAGAAACTCACTGTATGGATTTCTGGGCTCACAAACCTTAGATCCTTTCTCTGAGTCAAGATACAAGATGGGTCAAAGATGCCGAAGCCGGTTTGGCTCAGTGGTCGAGCGTCGGTCTGTGGACTGAAGGGTCCCAGATTTGATTCCGGTCAAGGGCATGTACATTGGTTGCGGGCACATCCCCGGTAGGGGGTGTGCAGGAGGCAGCTTGTCGATGTTTCTCTCTTATCGATGTTTCTAGCTCTCTATCTCTCTCCCTTCCTCTCTGTAAAAAAATCAATAAAATATTAAAAAAAAAAATGGGTCAAAGAAGACCCTAAAATGCTGGGCTTAAGCTACTGATAAATAGAGTCAATATTTTTTGGTCCTCTGTGATATCTACCTCATCTTCACCCTTTATGTCTAAACTAGAGGCCCGGTGCACAAAATTCATGCACTGTGGGGAGAGGGTTCCTCAGGCTGACCTGCACCCTCTTGCAGTCCAGGAACCCTTGCTCCTTACTGCCCACCTGCTCGCTGCTCCTTATTCCTTTGCTCGCTGCATCTGCCCCCTGGTGGGGAAGGACCTCCGGAGGGCCCAAGGGCATGTCCGACCTGTCTCATTCAATCCCTATCAGCCAGACCCCAGCAGCAAGCTAACCTACTGGTTGGAGCATCTGACCCCTGGTGGTCAGTGCACATCATAGGAGCAGTTTGAGCAGCCTTAGCATATTACACTTTGATTGACTGAACAGCAGACTGGAGACCAGACACTTAGCATACTAGGCTTTTATTATATAAGACTAGAGGCCCTGGGCACGAATTTGTACACAAGTGGAGTCCCTCAGCCTGTCCTGTGGGATGGGACCAAAACCAGCTCTCCAACACCCCAAAGGGGTCCTGGATTGTAAGAGGGTGCAGGCCAAGCCGAGGGACCCCACCAGTGCACAATTGTGGCTGAGGAGGGATGCGGGAAGTTGGCCAGCCAGAAAGGGACTGCGGGAGGGCTCCAGGGCATGTCCAGCCAGTCTCACTCAATCCCCATCAGCCAGACCCCAGCAGCAAGCTAATCTACCAGTCTTGGAGAATCTGGCCCCTGGTGGTCAGTGCATGTCATGTCGGCCTTAGCATTTTATGCTTTGGTTGGTTGAACAGATGACTGAACACTTAGCATATTAGGCTTTTATTATATAGGATTGTTCTACACTGAAGGTTTCCTCGCTATTTCTTTAGGACTCACCTCTTCCCACCTTCCTCATTAACCCCTCTATGTGACCCTTTAGGAGCTGAGGCACTTTGCATTGTGGAATAGAGACTTCACAAACTTCCTTCATCTGTGTTCAAGGAAATTGGATGTCCCATGTTCTCTAACCACTGGTCTGTTTTACGTGTAATACACATCGCTCATAGAATGAAACTGGGTTTTAACCGAAATGATTTTGGCTGCCTCACCCCACCCTAGCATGGTAGGTTTTTTTTGCAAAACTTGAGATTTGTATTTGGGCATCGGCTATTTCAAGTTTGACACTAATTGCATTAAAATGGCTGGAGGAAAATGTAAAATGTAAATTACAGCTTTCAGAATGTTTGTTATTTTTCCCTTGAAGACTGAAGTCCACCTTTACTTTATTATATCGGATAGTTAGGTTCCGATTGAAAAGTCTGGTAAAATCACAAAAGCAGAGCTATTCCAAGTCTCTTATTAAAACGAGGCTTAAAATTAGGGAGTCAATCGGATGCGTAGGTGGAATAACAGCTTGATTCCCAGAAACATCCTTTTCCTCTGATTCCTTTTCAGACTCCAAAACCCACCCAAATACAAACAGGCATCTGTGGACACCAGCACTTGTGAGCTCTGCTCGGAGGCTCCTTGGCCAGGGGAACGGGGATAAATGAACTTGGAGGCCAGTTTGACAGGAACGTGGTGACTCCCTTTCGCAGTGGTTTCTAAGAGAAGGGGTGGGTGTGAACACAGCTGCCAAGCGCTGTGCTCTTCCATTAATTGCCAGGTCTTTTTTTTTTTTTTTTTTTTTTTTTTTTTTTTTTGCCAAGTCTGGCTGCCTGGATGGCTTCTCTGAGAGAAGCTGCGGGATCTCTTTAAAAATGTCTTCTCCTCCCTCACCCTCAGAGAGAGGAGGCTCAATTCTTTTTAAAATATATTTTATTGATTTTTTTTTTTTTAATTAGAAACATCAATCAGCTGCCTTCTGCACACCTTCCACTGGGATGTGCCCACAACCAAGGTATCAATACATGCCCTTGACCGGAATTGAACCTGGGACCTTTCAGTCCGCAGGCTGACGCTCTATCCACTGAGCCAAACCGTTTTCAGCAGGAGGCTCAAATTTTGATCCTACATATGAGTGAGTATAGTTACTAGAACCACAAAGAAAAGTGTGTGGGGGGCAGAGGACAGGGTGGGGGAGGGGAGTGTTATTGGCTTTAAGCACCCCTCTGCAGTCTCCCAAGGGCAGATTCTTTGGGACAGGGTGGTTCTGTGTAAGTCAGAAGCCGTGACACATTGTAATTTGTCTAAACTGACAAAGAAGCTGTCCTCTCCAGCCCTGGAAACCCTGTTCTACGTGTGCCAAGTGCTCATATCAATCACTGTCTCCTCTCTGCCCCAGAGATGACCTGCGTGGTGAGCGCCGCTGGGCCTGTCCTTGGCTCTGCCATGTGGCTGTGGGCGCCTCGGTCTCTCTGTCAGTGGGGAGAGGATGGGCAGTGCCCTAAAGCTATTCACATCCTCGTCCCCCTCGCTGTGGGAGTCACGCTGGGTAAGCACTTTCACCCGGTTCATGGACACAGCAGAAAGCTTTCTGTTTTGTTTCTAGAATGCTCTTTGCTGCAGATATCTAAACGTGCTCCAACAAACCTTTGGGAGAAGCTGATGACCTGAGTAGTATAAAGTCACTCGTTGTATGAAAATCAGATTGATATGTAGGTGAGAAGGATTGAAAATGACTTGACTTTTTAAAAAATCTGTATTTGTAGCCCTGGCCAGTTGCTTGAGTGTTGTCCCATGAACCCAAAGGTCGCCAGTTCAATTCCCGATCGGAGCTGATGGATAGTTCTCTCTCCCATTCCCTAAAAACAACCTATTTTTAAAATTAAAAAGAGAAAAATATATATTAAAAAACTGTATTTATATATTTTGAACAATTCCTACATGCATTGAAAAATTATCTTTATTAAACTCTGTTAAAACAAGAGATGAGGAAAACTAAGAAGCAATGTGGGGAAATTATGATGTAAGCATAGTAAAAATTATTAAACTGTATATGCCATAATATGGTTATGACCATATCTATAATAATAAAAGGGAAATAGGCTAATCAGACTGGACAGCTGAACAACCTTCCAGACATCATTCTGGACATCCTTCCAGTTGAAGCCGCTGTGGCGGGGGCCAAGGCAGAGGTGGTTTGGGGCGATCAGGCAGGCAGACAAGTGGTTAGGGGTGATCAGGGAGGCAGCCGAGCAGTTGGGAGCCAACAGTCCTGGATTGTAAGAGGGATGTCTGATTGCCAGTTTAGGCCCGACTCCTGTGGGATTGGGCCTTAAACTGGCAGTCAAACATTCCCCAAGGAGTCCTGGATTGCAAGAGGGTGCAGGTCGGGCTGAGGGGCTCCCCTCCTATGCATGA